ATTGTTGTTAGTCTACAAACCCATGGAGCACAAGTACTCTTCCTTAGGGATTCTGGGATGTAGCTGCAATATAATAGGGGCAAAGTAAAAGTTTTATGAATTAAATTGAATTGAGGTGAGTTGAATTGAGTTGAATTACATTAAGCTGAACTGAATTGAATGGTATTCAATTCTCTCAGTTGATAGAAAAAAAAGTAATCTAGGAGGGGCTAGTCTTCAGTCCTTCTTAACCAATCTTCTTGCTACAGTGATGTTTTGTGGCAAAAAACTTAAGTGTGGAGAACTCATTTTGCTCCCAGCACCACAGAATAGGCATAGTTATTTTGTTAACCCTGAGTCCATTCTTTTGGTATCTATTCTTCCTCTTCATCATATTGATTTTAGTTTTGGAGAAGAACTTCTCCCCACTCTCACTCAGAGTTACTGGCTGCCAGAAATTGGCACATTACCCAGGTCTTGCCATTCAGTATATTCCAACCATTTGGTCATGGCAATTGGCTCAGGTATAGGTATGCAACCCAAGATATGCCAATAACATAATTCTAGGATTTTTCTTTGCTAGTTGGGAATGAAATGGCTCCTTGTGCTGAAACCTGGAGGTGTCACCAATCCCAGAGTGGACATTACAGGTCTGTGAATGAAGTCAAAGAGAGAGGAGTAGAACCAAAAGATTAAAATAAAAGAGGTTGCGGGGAGGGACCAAGTCCTGTGAGTGGTGGTATTTAAATTCTTAGATCTGGAAAACGATCTCTGAAATCAGCCTGGCATTCATAGACACTAATGGTTTGTGAGTTGGGCAAAATTACTTATAACCACTCTGTTTCTTCATGACAGAAAATGACTTCAACGCAATCTTTGTTTTGAGGATTGAATGAGATAGCACATGTAAAAAACTTAGAACAGTGTCTGACACAGAGGATGATGGATAACTGTTAGCCTTCATTAGTATAGACATTTTAATCTATGGCATTTGAGTTATGTACAGCAATAAATTATCCTTTGCTTAAGCTGGTTGGAGTTGGGGTTCTATCATTTTCAACCAAGAGGGTCTTGTCTCAAACAATTAATATAATGCATAAAGCCTCAGAGCATACAGCTTATGGCAGGCCAAATTCCCTTCTGTGGGCTGAGGCAGAGAAGGGGAATTGAACCAACTGACCCTGGACCATCTGGCTCTTCTCAGTTGATGTCTATCAGTAATTTTACCTGAGGTCTATCAACTCCAACTCCTAGTTTGCAAAAGAGTTTCCTCATCACCATCCCATTTGTATTCACGAAAATCCTCCTTCTTCTATATTGCCTGCTTTGATAATTTCTTTTAAATATATATAAAATACAAAAAGTAGCAAATCAAATATAAGAGTGGTAAAATGAGAGAAAATATTCCTATAATTAAAATACACTTTCTATTGCTTTTTATTTCTTAAACCTTAGGCTGGAAATTTTTTCCATACTGACTTAATGTAAATAATATTATAAGTAAGTGGTCTACATGCTAAATAGCATAATTTTCTTGGTGTCGATTTCTGGAGGGATATGCAGGGGATTTGCATGCTTAATTCCCATTAGCACCTGTCACTGGGATTTATTATCCCAGAGTTAATTCTCCACTCATTGAAGCCAAGAAAAAGGAAGCCCTAGTACATGGATTTAAATTAAGCTTTTTATTTTTCAGAATGAGATGAATTTCATGTTTGTTCCTTAAACACCTATAATATTTCAGCCCTAAAAAATTCATATTTAAATTTATTTTTGGCAAAAGTGCAGCCAAATTTGATCTTATTCAACAACTAGAAAAACATATTCAAAATTTGAAAATTTGTCTTGGGTAAAAAGGAAGTCTTAATCCAGGACATAAATCAGTTTTTAAAGTCCATTGGGTCTCATTCTTCCATTCAATACTGAATAAATATTTATTGACCATCTATTATGTGCCACGTAGTTTTCTAGGTTGTGTGTATAGAGCACTGAAACTATAAGGAAAAAAATCCTTCCTCATGAGAAGCACACAATCTATTGGAGAGTATATACATACATATAGACATATATGTTTATGTCTCCTACATATACCTATATGTGTATATATACATGTACATATATGTGACTATATAAAAAAGTTTTAGTTTTAAATGAGGTGAACACAATTGAGTGTGATGAGGTGAGTGCTATGTTAGGTAGCTGGTCAGAGGTCTCTCTAAGCAGTGACATTTCAGACCAGATCTAAGTGAAGTAAATTTGCAAGCCTATACCCAGAAGCGTATACAACATTGAATGCAGTGAAAAAAACTCTTTCATGAAAAAAAACTAGGAGGGATGTTTCAAGGAAAGTAATCATGTGCAACCGTCGATTGTTGGAAACTCACCTGTTTGTCTCCCCCCCCTTCTCCACTCCATCTCCATTTACTATCACTCAAAGCTTTCTCTTGCCCTCTTTAGGCTGAATTTCTGTATTGAACTACTACTCCCCTTCTTACCTTTTACTATTCCTTTAAATAATTAATTTCATGCAGTACCTGCCATTGAGCACTTCAATACCCCAGACATGATTATGCTAGTTAATTTTATTTAACTAACTGGACTTGGAGGATTCTCCCCTATTGTGCCTTTAATGGCAATCAACCAATACTAACTGAACATCAAATATATATCAGGATCTCTGTGTTAGGAGCTAGGTATGATATGATGAAAAAGACAAATCTCTGCCTTAAGAAGACTTAAATTCTAGTTAGGAAAGTTAGGCAGTAAAATTATAAATGAATAAACAAGCAACTTTTAGATGTTGTTAATATAATAGTGATATCTGTGGGGGTTCCTTTCTTACTACTGCCGTCTGTCTTAGAAAAATTGTGAAGACATATATGAAATATAATCCTAAACCCTTCTGGTGATGTCATGCTCAAAATAAATGATAAGTTATGAGTGGCCTAGATGCACTGTCCAACATGGTGGTCACTAATCATGTGGCTACTTAAATTGTAATTAAGTGCATAAAAATTAAAATTCCCAATTGACACTAGTCACATTGCAAATGCTCAATAGCCACATGTATTCATGACTACCATTTCAGAGAGCATAGGTGTGACTATGTTTGTCATAGCTGAAAGTTCTGTTGGACAGCACTGATTTAGACAGTATACAGCTAATGGGAATCTTTTATCAGCAGTAAAAATAGCAGCTAGCAATTTCATGTGTTAGACACTTCACATATGTTTAACTCATTTATTTATCACGAAACCCCATGGTAGTTACTGTTACTAGACCTATCTCACAGATTAGGAAACTGAGGTATTTAGTTTTATTGTTTAATACCTGTCAACTAGAAATAAGAAATGCTAAGCCAGCCATTCTGGTTTGGGACCCTACCCCTTTGCCAAAATATCATGGTATCCCTGTATGGGGAAGCTAAAAAGAGTGAAGGAGAGATTTTAGCAAGGTTGACAGTGTCTTCATAGAAATAAGAAGTGACCAGATTTGTCAATGTCTTTGCCAAGTATGACCTTTTCAGATCTTTCAGACTCATCCAAGACACATTGTATTGACTAGAGGTTTAGATGGAGCTTAGCAGGCAGAATCGTGGAACGTTAGAATTGAAGAGAACTTCAAAACCATCCACTGAAATATTTCACAGATGAAGAAACTGAGACATGCAGTTTACCTGACCTGTCCAGAATGACAGAGCGAGTTATGACCACAGCCAAGATTAGACAGCAAGCTTCCTGCCTGTGTGTGTGTGTGTGTGTGTGTTTCCACATTGCCCCCTTGGCACGAAGAGCTTAAATTTTTCTTGATATGTTATTTATTATTAGCTTAAAAATGTACTAATCTTGGGAAATGGTTTTCTCCTTCCCAGAATGTTGGCTGTGCAAGTGTGTATTGACCTCTTAATCCATCCGCTTTCTTTTGTCTAACCATTATTTTATCCACTCGTTCTCACGCTCTTCCTTAGTTACCCAGCCAATTAAAAACAAAAAAAGAGGTGAAAAAAAATCATAGCGGTTTGAGTCCTTACATACACAGTTAGGAGTTTGGAAAACAGGTCATTGGTTCCACCACCACTTTCAGTGAGTCTCTGTCTACAAATATTGTGCACCGTTTCTGGGAGTTTCTCCTGGCATCGGTATCATCTCACCAATATGCATGCAGATAAAGCTCTGTTAGAGAATGAGTTTTCCTTAAGCTTTTTGTTTCTGTTCCGCTACAGAGAGGCCATAGGCGTCTAGGACGTAGCAGTCGAAGTGGAGCCGACAACCCGAAGAATGCAGCCGGTTGGGGCACTGTTTCTGCTCCATGCCTTCTTCCCCACCAGGCAGGACTTCAGCCTCAGCCCGAACCTGGCTTAATCAACCTCAAGACCCGAAGTCGTAGAACGAGTCCAGACCCGGGGAGTCTGGCTCAGGCTTTGCTGGCGCGGAGATGAAGCCGACAGGCGTTGGGTTGAGCTCCACAAGACACAGCCAGGAGGATCACAGCGCGCCTCCGCGCTCTCCAAGTCTGGGTCTGGCGCACCGCGGGAGGCAGGCACTGCCACTCTCCAAAGCAGCCCCTTTCCGAAGGTCTCTCTGTACTCTCTGGTCTCTGCCTTCCGGGCGTCCACGGGTAAACCGGCAACCGGTCTCCACATCCTGCGCTGGGCGCGCATCCCTCTCCAATCCTAGCTTACATAAGGAGGCCAGGCGCGCTCCCGCTGCCGCTGACTCCCCAGTGGAGTTGGGCTGCGCCCTCCACGCCTTTTCCGCTAGCGCCTTGGAGCATCCAGGCGCCCCACACTGGGAGGTGACCCTTCTTGGCCACCCAGCAGCGACAGTCGGGATGTCTCCATGAGGCGTGAGAACACAGGGATTGGAGACCCAAGCGCCTCACCGTGCCCAACTCCCTCCCTCTTCTCCCTCCTCCTCCCAGTTCTCTCGCGCTCCACTCCCCCCGCCCCCACCTTCGCCCGCCGGTGCCTCTGTGTGTTCGACACTGGCGAGCAAACCGGGAGAGCAGTCCAGGCTCGGCACGCGGCGGAGCTGTGGCTGCTCCTGCTGCTGGGGAGGAGCGGCGAGGTAGCAGCCTTGTGCCTCCCCGGACTCGCGACTCCCCAAGTGGGGGGGCAGAGCCGCGGCGCTCGGATCTGCCAGTTAGAAGGCACCGGGAAAGAGAGACCTGCAAACTCCTCCTCAGTCTCTCCTCTCCACCCCCTTTTGGCCCCTGCCCTTGGAGAAAGTGGAGTGTGGCGCTTGGTTCTCATTATTTCTTCGGACTGCCTCTCGGTTCGCAGATTCAGCTGCTGCCCAGTGGGGCTTTCGCTGTTCGAGAGTCTGTGTGTAGTTCCCCCCAGCACACCTCTGTCGACGATGAGGAAAGGTCTGCGGGCGACAGCGGCCCGCTGCGGACTGGGACTGGGATACGTGCTGCAAACGCTCGTGCTACCTGCCCTGGCCCTGCTCAGCGCCAGCGGCACCGGCTCCGCCGCTCAAGGTAAGGGGGTCCGCCAAGCTCCTCGGCAACTCCCTTCGCTTCTGGCCTTTCCCCGCTTCTGCCTCCCCACTTCTCCTGGTTTCCTTAATCTGTCTTGTTGAACTCTACTGGAAATCACTTTAAATTCCACTTTCCCAACTAGTCAAGAATCTTTGGTTATTATTTTTTAATGTCTTCCGAGATGGGCATGGGTGGACCAGGGACGCACGGGGTGTGGACACTTATCTGTTTCTGGGCATGTGGGCACCTTGGGTGTCTTTTGCACTTTCTGCTCCACATGCACGCATTGTTGCAAATAGTACACATAGAGGTTTGGAAAGACTGTCGGTGCGGGTTTGTGTGGCATGTCATAGATGCATCGCGATGCACAGAAGCTCCCCGCACTGTGCCAAGTCCGAGGTTGCAGGATCTTCGGTGAGTCTCTGAGACGCAGAAGGGCGCTCAGCTAAGGAAATGTGTCCGTTACGGCTGAGGACCTACAGCACTGTCACACCTCGGCTGCTGCTCAGGGCGCCGTGGAGACTCGGAGCACACCCGGACCCGCGCGACCCAGCCTGCGGCAGGCCCCGGGGTAGTGCGCACCTTCAAACTCACAGTCTCTCCGTGTCTCCTTCCTAGCTGGCGACCGAGAAACTTAGACCCCAGAGCTCTGGGGAAACGGACTGGTCGCTCAAACCAAATCTGAAACTCCCCGGGGTAACCGTCCAGTTTATAACTCTGACCTTTTAATTTAACGTGCCTGAGCTTTAAAATTAGTGTCCGTCCGGGGCCCTGGGCAAAACCTGGGTTGGGAGAAGAGTGGTGGGGAATTGAGAGTGGGTGAGGAGGAGGGCAGGAACAGGGGCTGATCGCCTGGCTCTCTTCTCGTTCCTGAGTTTGAATTGGTAGCGGCAGCTCCCAGCCTTCTGAGCCCGGGAAGCTGAATGGAAGGGAGGTGGAGAGGAAAGAGCCCACGAGCCCCCCTTCCGCTGTCTCACTCGGGTCCCCTGGGCTCCCAACCTCCGGCCAACCTGAGCGCCAACCTGAATCTTTCGGACCAGTTCTGTGGTAGACTCTGGCTCTGGAGAGAGAGCTCGGCTTTCCCTTGCAGCCAGAGTGACGTTGGGGGTGGGAATGGAGGAACCTTCTGCAGTATTCGGAGGTAATTCAGCCATGCCATCATTTTGGTTACATTTCTTTACAAACTGGGAGAGCTGAGGAGGTGCGGCGATAGTCCAAACTCCCTGGGCGCTGCTCAGACACTGGGCCCCCCCGACAGCATTCCCTCTGATCTGCAAGGGTGCTGGGAGCGAGGGCGTGGGAGGTGGAGGGGAGCCCCGATAACAGGCGAGTGTGGTCCGGGTGAGGGGGGGGGGGCAAGTGATTAGCAAGGCTTTGTGAATTAGCCATAGCTACTTCAGGAGTAAATTTTCCTGCTGCCGCGCTAAGTGGCCACTCTCATAAATCCTTTCCTTCTTGCCAGATGCCTCCCATCCCGAGGTTCTGCCCTGGTTTTCTTGTGCATACTTCCAGAGCGCATCTGTCCATTTTACAAAGGACTCTCCACTGAGGCGCATGCGAACTTGTGGATTTCTTAAAATTGGTTAAGAAGTTTTCAGGGCTGCAGCCAAGGGTGCTTGGGTGGGGGGCGGGTGGGGGTGTTCGGAAGTTTAAGCGGGCAACCTGATGAATAGCTGTGGAGTCAACAGCTGTGGAGACTCCCTGTGGAATTCGTCTGCTGTTACTGGGTGCACAAAGCCTGGGGTGGGTGCTGGGATGGGGACCGGACAGTGAGAGGACAAGTTAAAGTCCCCAAACATGCCAAAAAGGCGATCCGAAATCCCTGCCCAACGCTTACTATAGCCAAATTAAAAAGACTGCGTAGGAAATGGATCAATAAAGATAATCAAACCGGAGATTGCAAGTGGATTAATATTGAAAGGAGAAGAGAGAAGAAATGAAAAGATGCTCAGGAGAGACAGCATTTGCCACTTGCGTTGTTTTTCTTTTTATAGACCTGGCAAGCCAGATGTTGAGAATTGAACCTGCTTTTAGGATTTCAAGTGGAAAAATGCAATGTATTCTGTTGGGTGTGTGTATTCCAGTGCTCTTCTCCTCCATTTAGTTTATTTAGTTCATTCAGTTCCTGGTGAATAAACTATTTATTTTTGAATCTTGTGGTCTTTGAAAGACATTATTCTACCACTTTTATCTTTGCTATCTTCATGTTCCCTGACACCAGCCCTTCCTGTGTTGTCTGTTAGGCATCAAAAATGTAGAAAGTGCCAAACTCTACCATCAGCTGCTATCAGCATCACTGGAGTCCATTCCCCCAGCCTGTTTACTGTCCAACCACTGTGATAAATCCTGCCCAGAACCAGAATATTACCATGGCCTTATGGTCAGATCTCCTTTCCCTTCTAATTTCTCATGCTCCCTCCTGTCTTTGGACTAGAATACTAGTCCAAAGCAAAACACAAGATGCTGTTGCTCCCTCAAGGTATGATTTCCATGTGCTGAGGATTTAAAGATCAGAATGAACTATTTTTATGAATGGCAGTACTTATGCAATTAAGATGAGAAAGTTAATTTAAGCACTTTACATTGTGGATGAGGCTTTCATTTTGTTGTTAGACAAGTACTGGAAAAATTAGAAGTTTTAGGAAATATGTCTCTTCACAGATAGCCAAGAAAACAACAGATGTTTAAGATAAAAAAAAAACACGAGTTATTTGTGGGTGTACAGTGTTTTGTAACTGTGGTTTAAAAAGAGACAGCAGTCATTTTAAACAGGTCCTTGGGAGATTCTCTAGGCTTTAGGTGAGAACTGTCCCCTTTCTGGCTGTGCCCTATTTGTTTTATTCAGGATTGCTGGGAACTCCTAGCTCCAGGGAATTTGTGGTGTTTCTGACTTTCAAGAATGAAGGATTTCAGTAGGAAAAGTGTGTGTGTGTGTGTGTGTGTGTGTGTGTGTGTGTGTGTGTTTGAACAGTGTGCCTTAGAATTAGTGCCCTTCTGTTTTATAAATGCATTTTACCTCTGGGCTTCACAGAAGTGATATTCTGCTTATCTAGCACCAACTAGTGTTTTGAGTGTTAACACCACCAAACTCAGAACAGAAATATACTGAAGATTCTCATCATATTAGGATAAGTCTCTGCTGTCATAAATTGTTTTGTTTTTAAAAAATAAGGTATACTTTCTATAAGAGAGTAAAAATTACTTTCATGCATTTATGCATATTGGTATGGTACAGACAATTGGCATGGCAAAACCCCTGAATTTTATTGAAATTATACTATATATGTTTCCACTCTAGAAGCAGAGTAAATTCATAAATTCATATTTGGTATTTGCAATAATGAAAAGAGGTTAGCTTACCTTTGTTTAGAAAAATAATTTCATGTATTTTTGCTTGGGGAATGCTTACACAGTTTCAAAGAACAAACTTCTGAAGTACTTGCAAAGAGTGAAGAACCACTAGATTGTTAACATTTATTGACTTTGGCCATCTGTGTTCTGGATACTGGGGATTCACAGTTCCACAATGTAGGGTCCCCAAGCATCTCCCATTATAGTCTTAATCAGAATCCGTATCAATATTTTTTAAGCCAACCACCAAGGACATGAACATGAACATAAATGAAGCGTGAGCTCTACTAGGCAAACCTTCTTGGCTTATTTATAATTATTGTTGAGACTTAAAAGTAACTGTTCTCTAATGTATCCTAGGTTCTCCAACTAGTGCAAACAGAACAGCCAGAGTGCGGTCTGTTAGGCCTTAACTGCCTTTAACACTTTTCTGATTTAGGTCATGGCTTTGCTGGAGCAGCAGAGGGAGTCACTCTCAGAAGAAACATTAAAATTACAGCCTGCAAGCACTTGAGGGAGATAATGTGGGGAACGTGTGGGGGCAGGGATTGAGGCAGCACTTTTGCCTTCTGATTTTAGCCTATATCTTTTTCAGTCTGACTTTTGTCTTTGTGGCAGTTAAAAACAAATCTGTTCACATTTCCTCACAAATTAAAAACTCACTAGCTCATTTGGATAGCAGTGGTATTAGAACTAAAGTTCTTAACCAACAAGTATTGTGCACTTATTATGTGCCAGGTTGCATGCTATTTGTTGGGACACAGAGTTGAATGAGACAGTTTTCAGCCTCCAAGGAAGACACATTTATAACCATATCATTATAATTCACATTCTGAAATGTATCAGTGAGCACAGATATAGTACTTTCTGGACTCCAGCCTCAAAGACAGTAAACACGGGTCAGGCAAGTAAGTGGTGGTGGGGGTTCCCGAATTTCTGCGCAGGCAAATTGAGGGTAGCAGTTTGGAGGGAAGTTTGTATCACAACTGTCATATATTAAATCTTACTTAGATTTAATGTATATTTGGTCTTGTTTGCCGAAGGCACAAGCTAAAGGCTGTTAGTGTTATATGCCCATTCTGCCAGTTGTCTTAGTTGTTACCACTATCTCAATATCCTGCCTCCACCCCTCCTAGGTGTTTGGCCATGAATGAGTTATTTAGTGTCCCTGTGCCTCAGTTACCTCCAACACAAAATGAGGATAATATATACTACACATCATATTAGGAGCGAATGAATTAATACATGCAAAGTATTTACAGCAGTATTCTTTGTTTCCAACTGTGTAAACCACTGGCAAAGAACTCTAAAAGTTGAAGAAATTAAAGGTCAATAATTTATTCTTATCCTCACCTGAGGATATGTTTATTGATTTTAGAGAGAAGAGAGAGAGAAACATCAATTTGAGAGAGAAACATTGATCGGTTGCCTCCTGGATGCACCAAACCATGGATCAAACCCGCAACCTACATATGAACTTTGACCGGGAATCAAACCCACAAACTTTGGTGTACAGGATGATGCTCAATTAATTGTGTCACCCAGCCAGGGACAAAGGTCTATAATTTTGAACTCAGAGAGGGATGGCCATTGATACTGTTTCCCTAAAAGTGGCATGTGCTGTAGTCTGAGGAAATGCCCCAAGCGTA